GCCTAGCCACTGGCAGGTTAATATGCAGAACCATATTCTGAACGTCCAGACATCAAATATGACATATCTGGCTGTGACGGTTTAAGAGATATCGCTTTCTGCTCTCTGGTAGACTTTATCTAGGGGTGTAAGGTATCAGGTGACTCATATTAAACTGACCTCTCTGAATATATGCTTTGTTTTATTGTACCTTGTGCCTGCTGGTATTTATGAAATTGTATGAAAAGGTGATTTCAAGTGGGATGTATGTTTTACTGCCCCTCTGGAATGCTTTCATGTCCAGTGACTGATTGGTTTATAGCTTTACGACCCGGCCAAGGCAAGGGTCTGTCAGACATCATGGAACCAGCTAATTGGGTTTACAACCATGAAGCGTATCCAGCTGTGCCCGATGTCCTTGTGACCCCCAACACACACACACTTCAAAAAAAAGGGAGGAGGATTGATTTGGAGTAAGAATGACATTTACAAAGTATGATCCAAATTATGGTTTTCACTGTCCATATCTGTGCACACAATTATCACACTAATCACTTTATTAGTGTCATTGAGATGTCAGTGACAGTCAGTTCCCACCCAGTGTCAGAATGCCTGCCGCAGTCCCCCTATAAGTTGCTGACTGCCACCATTACTAGTATAAAAAAAAAATAAAAAAATCCAGGATATATACCACCATTTGTAGACGCTACAACTTTCACGTAAAACAATTAATTTACATGTATTGGGATTTTTTTTTCAGCAAAGACATGTAGGAGAATACAGTTTAGCCTAAATTTATGATGAAATTTGATTTTTACATTTTTTTTTTTTTTTCTTGGATGTTTTATAGCAAAACAAGTAAGAAAAAAATATTTAAAAATTGGTCTTTGTTTATAGTGCAAAAAAAAAAAAAAAAAAAAAAAAAAAACGCACAGGATCAAATATCACCAAAAAAAGCTCTATTTGTGGGGGGAAAAAAAAAAAGACGTAAATTTCATTTGTGTGCAGTGTTGCATGACTGCACAATTGTCAGTTAAAGTAATGCAGCGCCATATTGCAATAAATGGCCTGGTCAGGAAGAGGGATAAATCCTCTAGATGGCAAGTGGTTAAAAATACTGCACCTTTAACCATCTGTTCACTCCTTGATCGGTTCATCTGATCTTGCATGTATTGGACCCAGCTTCCTGCTGTGTCTAAGAACTGTCTCAATCACCAATAAACCTCTCTAAGCAGCTTTACCACATCCCCTCATAAATATTATGACATGCATTACACATATCGATCAAGATGTCATACCATAGACCATGTTATACATTTCAATAATGAGAAAGCAATTAAGATCACTATCTACCGTATTTTCCGGCGTATAAGACGACTTTTTGACCCTTGAAAATCTTCTCAAAAGTCGGGGGTCGTCTTATACGCCGGTATACGGCATGCTGACACTTTTTAGGGGGGTGGTGTGGTGCCGCCGCCGCCCCCCCTTCCAACGGAAGTGAAACTAAGTACAGGGGTAGGCAGGGGCTTCTGTTTCTTACCTGGCTCCGGTCCCACGACGATCCGGTCCAGGAAGCACAGCTGCTCCTTCCTTCAGTTCGGCCACTGGATGTTCGTGCGGCTGCTCGGCTCCACCTCCTCACCGGTGATTGGCCGCCAGAACTGTAGCTCGGGAAAGGCACACAGGCGGCCAATCACCGGGGAGGAGGCGGAGCCGAGCGGCCCCGCGAAAATCAAGTGAAGGTAAGTGTGCCGTGCACAGGTGCTGCTGCAACCATATATGCTTGCTGCAGCAGCACCATACTGAACAGGGGTCAGCAAGTGTCAGTGGGAGGAATAGTGCCCCATCATTGGTGTCACTGATACCAATGATGGGGCATTATTCCTCCCACTGACACCGACGATGGGGCACTATTCCCCCCCCACTGACACAAACGATGGGGCACTATTCCACCCCCCACTGACACCAATGATGGGACACTATTCCCCCCACTGACACCAATGATGGGGCACGATTCCTCACACTGACACCAATGATGGGGCACTATTCCTCACACTGACACCAATGATGGGGCACTATTCCTCACACTGACACCAATGATGGGGCACTATTCCTCACACTGACACCAATGATGGGGCACTATTCCTCCCACTGACGCCAATGATGGGGTGCTATTCCTCCCACTGACACCAATGATGGGGCGCTATTCCTCCCACTGACACCAATGATGGGGCACTATTCCTCCCACTGACGCCAATGATGGGGTGCTATTCCTCCCACTGACACAATGATGGGACGCTATTCCTCCAACTGACACCAATGATGGGGTGCTATTCCTCCCACTGACACCAATGATGGGGTGCTATTCCTCCCACTGACACCAATGATGGGACACTATTCCTCTCACTGACACCAATGATGGGGTGCTATTCCTCCCACTGACACCAATGATGGGGTGCTATTCCTCCCACTGACACCAATGATGGGGTGCTATTCCTCCCACTGACACCAATGATGGGACACTATTCCTCCCACTGACACCAATGATGGGGTGCTATTCCTCCCACTGACACCAATGATGGGGTGCTATTCCTCCCACTGACACCAATGACTGGGCACTATTCCTCCCACTGATACTAATGATGGGGCACGATTCTTCCCACTGGTGTGCATTGGAAGAGGGGTAGTCTTATACGGCGAGTATAGCCCAAACACTACATTTTAACAGGAAAAGTAGGAGGGTCGTCTTATACGCCGGAAAATACGGTATATTCAGTCCTGCTGGTGTTAGTGTATCTAATAAATGAATCCATTTTGCGATATCTATTTCTTCTTATGTTTCCCTCTCCAGTTATCTTTTGCCATAAAATACCAATTGACTGGCATCTTTATTATATTTTTAACATGATTTGACACACTGTTCTTCGTTTCCCTTTTTTATGTTGTTCATGTGTTCACTTATTCTGATCCCCAATTGTCTGGTTGTACACCCTACGTACTGGAGTCCACAGTACATAGGTGTCATGTGTGCGTCTATCTATATATATTTATATCCATCTATATTAATAATAATAATGATTTCTAGCTGTGGTGATTTAATGTATTACATCCAAAGCACTGGTTCACATTATTTAAAATTGTCCAGGATTTCAATTATGGACACCAGAAATGCGAACCACTGCTTTACAAAAATATGTAAGAGAAGCAACATCAAAAAATTACTAAAACATGGCTATAACAATATTCGAAAAAAATATATATTTAATGTCTCTTCAGGAAGATTTTCTTCACTTCCTGTTCCAGAGACATAGCAAGTAGTAAGAGATCTCTTTAATGCGAAGAGATATTCCCTTTTTAGACCTTCTACACCTGAGACAATGTCACCAGGGCCAATGGAGAGGATTCAAATTTAAATTCTGCATTCCTGCAGTGTCTCCTTTACAGCAACCAGATACTGTCCTATCTTCTGGCATTGTGAAGGTGGACAGCAGCAGCTGCTCCACTTTCCCACCCTCTTCTGATCTTTCCAACATTCATATTGCTTGTATTACTACACTCCAACAATGCACTGCATTCTGTGAATGGGCAGACGAGACCCTGTCATTCAACTGCCCCTCTTTTGCTCACAGAATGTGATGCATTGTGGGGGTGTAGTAAGAGAGTTTTATGAACTGCTGGAAAAGACGACGATGGTGGGTAGCGCATACTATCGCATACTTTCCCAGTAGCAGCTGTCATGGAAATTTTGTATTTACAGGTTGAACTTTAAATGTGTCATATATTAGTGTTATTCATATGTCTCTCGTGTGGCTTAATTAAAGCTCTGAAGGCTGCAATTGGGCCATGCTCATGTACAATGTATGTATTACAGTACTCAGCTTGGTAATGGATGAGATGGCAGATCTGCGCTTATAGACCAGCGTGTATACTACCACGGCATTCGATGCGAATGCCGCCGGCGGTAGGCCGCGGGCCTGTATCCACATATCAGCAGCATAGTACCACATGGACTCCGTACTGCAAGGCGCCAAGCAGTGCGAACTCCGTGTGTAGGCTCATGTATATCTTATAAGCCATTACCAACCTGAAACTGTATCTGGATGGATGTGTTTCAATAAAGATCGTATCGGGCCCATTCAGATACAGACTGGCATTGTTTAATCTAGGCGTTGCTTGTACAGAGAAAATTTACATACCACTAGGAGCTAATAGGATAGGAAGTTTGCTTCCCTCGGAGAGCTCATGGAGGGAGGGGAGGACTGGTGATAGATAATAGGAAAGGCTACGCTCCAATCGGAATGTACATCCTGTGTATAGGCACTCCCCATTGCATTGTTCTGTGGGAGGGGATTGACCTGACTCATGTGGGGGGCGTGTGTGTGTGTGTAATAAAACCAGGGGCTGAGTCTGAAACCAGTCTCTTTGTGAATTCCAACAGCAACCTGAGAGTGTCGCCTGATGATTCCTAGGTAACTGGAGCTCCATTTCCCCACATCTCGAGATAGCTAACCCAGTTGGAGGCGCAGGAATCGTGGCGTTTAGCTGCGGTCGTGGTAAGCGAGATTTGCACAGCTTTATGGGGGATTGCTGCGCATCCAACTGCGAGTACTCACGGTAAGGAGAAATTTGTTTAAAAGCGAATTTCCAAGACACAGCCAATGCCATTAACCTTCACAGCGGTGGTGGTTATGAAGTACACACTATGAAGGTGATCTTTTTAGCAGAGGCAGCTGCCTGCAGGTAATGGGATATGTGCCATTACACACACAGGTTAATTGGCTCCTGTCTAAATTGGACTTCGCATGTGTACTGTATAAATGCGAGTTAGGGACTTTAGATTGAAAGCTCCTTGAGGGCAAGGACTGATATAAATGTATAAAATATAAATATATATATAAAAAGCGCTGCATAAATTGATAGCACTATATAAAAATACCCAATATGGTTGGGTCTGTATTGTAAAGAAAAAAAAAAAAAAAAAAAAGGGAATTCACTTTAAAACTGATTGCTACTATACTTACCCTAACCTCCGTCTCTCTTGACTTCCCATTCAAATCACATCTAGAACCATTCACATACATCTGACTGTGGTAGCGCTTTAGTTTGTGGTGTTTAGAAGCCTAAGAGGAAGAAACACAACATATAGATAACAATAGATAAGCAAACAAGGTCTAGATAGATTTGAACTAGCAAACCTTGGTCATACATGGGCATTTATAAGTCAGATGACAATACAAACCATTTAAAAAAAATTTTCCATTAAAAAAGAAACCACGAAACAAAAACAACACACAACTCAACAGCTGCTATACAACACACACACACCATGCTGGCCCCTTGACCAGAGAAATCTGTAGTACACCAAACCGCCATAAGAATTATTTTTATCAAAAACATTTAATATCAACATGTATCCACTTTATTTTGCAAAAATGCACCAAGTACATTCAGCCAAATGTATCAAATCTATGAAAGAACAAAGACTTGTGTGATAGAGGTTGCTTTGTTTTTTATATTATAAAACATAATACATGAAATGTAGTGCAGCAACTCTGGGCAGACTGCTTTAATATAAGGAAAACAGAGAAATGGAGCATCATACGAAAATTTAGAGAGTCTTAAGAGACAAATAGCTAAACACATTTCAGGGGTTGGGGGGGGTGCTGGAATATAATGAACTCCAAATGATTCACACACTGGCTTTCATCTTTCAGCCTGCACCAAAATAAAACAGGAAAAATGTAGATGTGTTTTTTAATACTCAACTTAAACAGTTGTTTCAGATATTTTCATAAATGAGGATCATTGGCAGCTACAGCTACCTTATCTCAAACAAACAAAACCAGCAGTGGAATAACAAGCATTAGTGTCTCAGAACACAATACGTAATGTCAGGTAGACTGTTGAATAACACCACTGACAGACAAATGTGAACCATTTACTTGCCAAATGATCACTTGCTGTGTTGGGATTCAGATACCTCTGCTATGCTACAAAGTCAAAGACTGATGGCACCTCTATTACCTAGAACAGCTTTGCAGTTTCCTGTGTCATCTGCCTAATAGGAAAGCAACACATGAAGACGTAACTGGATGTTTACCCAAGAATTATGGGTAGTAAACGTCAGCCCAGCATCTGTAGGGTCATGACTGTTTCTGGTGCAATTTGCCCAATTTGACTTAGGCTTCATGTACACTGGCTTGAAAACACACACAAATTTTGAGCATTTGCTTGTGCTAGCATTTTGAAGCATTTCACATTTATCTAGGAGCAGTGATGTTTTTTTTTTAAGCCAGTGTGCATGGACCCAGAAGCAGCACATACGTGCACAGCTAACACTGCCATCCTTCTTTTTAATCAACATAATTCTAAATGAACAAATCTTCATTGAAGTGGATACAGTAGGCTGTTGGAGCAAATCGTATATTCATCTGATACTGTACAAAATAAGTGAAAAATGACAGGTGACCTGCTGACCTTTGCAGTTTCATTGTTCCAGTCAAATTCTGACTGATAGTACCCAAGGTACAAGACATCTCCCTTTACTTCAGACTCTGGAAGGGGAAAAAAAAAAAAATTAAACAACTGAACCATATATTTACAGAAAGACCAAAAAAATAAACACACACGAAAAAAAAATTTAACTTTATGGTAAAAATCATTAAAATAGAAATGCTACAAGACTCCTGAGAATTCTATATGTACTTAAAAACACTGCACCCAGTTCCACCAAGTTTGACACAGGATGTAAAAAAATGCAATCTATGAAAAATGATATCAAGATAAAAACTTCAAGTCACGCAAACATGTTAAAGCGATTCTAAAGGTTAATTGTTTTCTTTTTGCACAGAGAGCAGCCTGGATCATCTTCTCGGATCCCCCACTGGCTCTCCTGGCCCCTCCCTCCTATCGGGTGCTCCCACAGCAAGCAGCTTACTATGGGGGCACCCGCTGCTCAGTGTGTCCATTCACACCCCCTCTCTCCCCTCATTGGCTGACTGCCTGTGATTGACAGAAGCATGAGCCGATGGGTCCCGCCTGCTGTCTCAGCCAATAAGGACCTGGGACAGCCGAGGCTGTTATTGACATCGCTGGATCGCAATGAGGCTCAGGTAAGTATTGAGGGGGCCAGGGGCACTGCTGCACACAGGTTTTCTACCTTCATGTATAGAATGCATGAAGATAATAAACCTTGAGCCTTTACAACAACTTTAAGCTTGTTTTTTCAGATAGTCCAACTGTGCAAGCTTAGTGCTGCCAATTATCAGAGTATAACTAGAAGGCAAACTTTTTTTTTTGGTTTTGGATAAAGTGGAGATGGATTAGAACACCTGATTTTTATTGTCTGTCTTTAGGACGATGCACCCTATTTGTCCTGTTAACCATTAACACCAAGAGTGAAAGTGAAGGAAATTTCCAAATTTTGGGTCGTCATTAGAACAGCTAAAAAGGGAAAATCTACCAACAGGGACACTAGTTCTGGTTTTTTTTACCTTCATGCATTCTATACATGAAGGTAAAAAAACGCTTTTTCCCTGTCTTAGAAAGTCCACATTATGTTTAAAACGTTCTAGGGGTAGAATTAATTTTATTTAAATTTACCTTCTATATGGTATTGCTGTAAATGTTTTCCGTAGCAGAACTCATACGTCCACCAGTCTTTGGTCTGAAAGACAAACAAATAAGATCACCTGAATGTTGTGTACACAGAAAATATTGTGGGTCACACAAACGTCAAACAAGAGACCCTATTCTGAAAGTTAAGGCTTACATGCTCAAGTCTATGGCTTGTAACAGAGAAGAGGCGTGTTGGATTCGCCCTGTAAGGTAGAAGAAAAAAAATATATATATCCTTAATCACCGTCCCCCCCTAGAGTAGTACAATGTTACTATGGTAATCAAATAATTGGGCAATATATTGTGTTTTTGTGCATTAAAATGAAAAAAAAAAAATGTATTGCAATGAAAAAATTTCAAGACCCACCATTTTATTCTCTAAGGCCTCTGCTTTAAAAATATATAGTGTTTGGGGTTTCAAAGTAGTTTTCTAGCATAAAAAAAAAAAGTTTTTTCATGTAAACAGTGTCAGAAAAGACTTGGCCTTTGAGTGGTTAGAAGAGGTGATGTGCGGCATAGGCTTCTAATTTTGGCTCGGAAAGGTCAGGATAGGACTCCTTTTTGGGAAGTGGACACTCAAATGTATTTCCTGGACTAGAGGTGGCAGTCTTATGGAGGGGTCCAGACGAAGCTACGCTACCTCTTAGCAAAATGCGTTGACGTCCCACACAACACGTGACGCAACTCTTTCCACATAGGAACCCTGTGTTTTGATGGCGTCTTGGAGTTTTGGCAGAAGTAAAAAGACACATGAGATTTATATTAAGCCACAAGGAGCAGCGGCAATTCCTTTTCACAGATCAGATTGACACAGGCTGAGTTGTAAACCTGGGAAGCATTGTGGACAAACCCAGGAGCGGTAATGTATATGCCGCCCTTATAGGAAAGTGGTGAAAACCTAACAAGGACACGGGACTAATTTATACTCCATGTACACTAGGTCCAAGGTGGACCGAAAAAAACAAACCGTTAAAAAGGTCCTATAGTGTCATACATGGTTGGTCATCTATCCCTAGCTGATGTTCACAATACTTATATATATATATATATATATATATATATATATATATATATACACACACACACACACACACTTGAGCTCATTATACAGAATATCAACTGTATCGGAACCGGACCCCGGCTGCACTTGGGTACTACCGTTAGGATACCACTTCCCTGTCCGAACACCAACACCACAGATGACCATGCAAGACTAGACAACACCAGTCTTGACATAAACCAGGAAATAGACCACTTTATTTTAACACAGATACAAGATATATACATTCAAGGGAACAACCCCCCCCTCCCTGCATAATGACACAGGGCGGGGCAATCTACCTTTAGTAACAAGAGACACACCAACAGACAGTCCCATCACGAGGGAGAGCTGCCGGAAACACCCCCCACCAAGCCAATACACAAACACATACATCCCATAATAGTTCACTCCCAAGCAAGACACAACAATTGGATGCAACCACATGGCATTGAACAATCAACAACCCCCCCACCCCAATATTAGGACAGATCACCCTGTACCCCTATCAGGCACAGGGTGACTTACACATAATAGGGAATATGGGGAGCTGAGACAGGGGTCTCCCCACCTCTCCAAAGTCAGCTGGGTTCCATGGGCCCCCCACCCAAAGTGACTCCCGTCACATCAACATCTCCTCTTCCTGCAATATTCCATATAAGGACTGGAACATTAGTTCCCATTAGTGAAATACAATCTGTTGGATGAACTTCCTTATATGGACTGCCATATTCACTCACTAATGACCCAGCTAAAAGATTTGGCAAGTTTTGCAAGTCAAGACTTTTTTCCAATTTTTTGGTCCATCTCATATGTACTTGAGTTTCTTTAGCATGTTAAAAAGTACACAGAGTTCCCAGACTCACACATGGGGAATACCTTTAATGCCATTTGTTATCCAAAAAGCAGCATTTTGCTGCAGTATGAAACCCATATGTGACTAATTGTGCATATGGACGTTTTTTATTTTTGTTTATTTTGTCTTGTTTATGTTTTTTCACTGTTGAATACACAAGGTTAGTCGCTTGGAATTCACATTGGTGGTTGTTTTAACCAAAAACCCAGCCAATAAAATTATCTTTATGGTATTTTTGAACTCAGTGTTGTAATTTTTGTGGTACCTCAGCTCTGTAAAGATTGTCACCTATAGTAACCACTTTGCCCATTCTTTGGGCGCTCTGTGTTTGTTCTTTTATGGAGGGGCCTCTGGACTGGAGGTGATAATCTCCCTATGGAGGCTCTCCGCTCCGACAGACTGCTACCTCCAGTTCAGGTGCTAGGGGTCCCACCATAGAGGGACTGTTACCTCCAGTCCAGGGGCCCCTCCTATTATAGGGTGACATTAGAATGGAAGCCACTGGGATAGTAAATCAGCACAGAGTGAAGTGACATTAGTGCAGGAACATGCCTACCTCCCCCTTCCCCCGTGCTCTGCTTGTAATCTCACCTGAGCTACATTGAGCACGGTCTGGCTCTCCCCTCCTCCTCCACAGCAGGCAGGCTGGACGCTTTCCTTGTGGTGAAAGGGACAAACCTGTCACAGTATGGCTGGCGCAGACACAGCACTCTGTGACAGGGCTGCAGCCAGGACTAGAAGAGTAGTATTGGTAAATGAAGCCGAGTGCGCCTTCTACAGCCAGTGCTTCTTCTACAACCAGTGCTTGCTCAGCACTGCCAATGTCTTTTGGTGGAAATGGCTGCAGTACTAAATATACTATTGGCAACCATGGGCAGCATTGGCTCAAGGGGCAGCTGCCCCTTTTGCCTGCCTTAAAGACGGCCCTGCATAATACTTGGGAAACCAGCAGAGTTGGGGGTTCCTAATTTTTCTGTGTATGAGCATAGTATATTTGGAAACCTGAGGTCACGTTAGACATCGTACTGAAATTACTTGAGAGCATAAGAGGGGATAGAGACAGGAAGAGTACGAAACAGATGAAGTTTTGGAATGATTGTCGTTTTTACAGCACTGATTTGACCTATCCATGAAAGGCAGTGCTGAGACTGGGATGCAAGTAGAGCTTTGGAGGAAGTGAAAAGTGGGAATACAATTAGCTTCATCATAGAGCATATAATAGGATTTAATGAGGCGAATCCCTAGATAGTTCAGGTAAGCATTAGGCCAGGTAAAATTGATAGTTTTGCGTCAATAAAGTGTTCTCCCCGCATGGTATGAGGCTGAGTCAGAGTTAGCATATCATCTGCAAATGAACTGACTTTGAATGAGTGTTGGCCAACTGTAATCCTTTTAATAAAAAGGGTTAGTTCTGATAAAGGTGCAATAAAGGCTCCAAGGCTAGAATAAATAGTATGGGTGGTAGGAGACATCCCTGCCATGTGCCCCTGTAAATTGTAAAGGAAGGGGATTGTTGAGAGAGAGAGAAACCATGGCAGAGGGCGTGTGGTACAGAGTACCTAGCCAGGATGTAAAAGCGGCAGAAAAACCCCACTTGTCTAAGACATAGTACATGTATTCCCAAGAGGGAATCAAACGCTTTGTGTATATCCAAACTAAGGACCATACCAGGAATTTGGTTCTGATGCATCCGGTGAATTAGATGAATCACCCTGTGGGTGTTGTCAGGAGCTTGCCGAGATGGGACAAAGCCCACTTGATCTTTGTGGATGGAGGTTGTGTAGAAATGAATTTATTCTAGTGGCAAGAATTTTAATATCTATATTCAACAGCGAGATGGGTTGAAAACCATGAGGATCCTGAGAATCCTTTCCAGGTTTTGGTATCGAGATTATCATGACTATTTGGGCTACTGTTGACGACAGGTGTAGGTCAGAATAAGAACGTAGGGGATTAAATAAGTTGGTCAAATGGGGGGGGGGGGTCAGAGACAAGGATGAGAGAAAATGTAATACAGAGCTGAGAAGCTGTTGAGTCCAGGAATGTGTGTTTCTAGTGATTTGATTGCCACAAAGACTTCAGGGGTGGTTATACTGGCCTTCATTGTGTCTGACATAGTGAAGGTTGGTATACTGTGGACAAAACGGATATGTTTCCACAATCTTAACAGGGTTGGCAGTCATGACAAGATCGGTTTGGTATCTTGGATGCTGTCCTTAAAGTGGTTGGCCAACATCGGACCTGGCTTATTGGCACAAGCATAATATTTGACCATCTAAATCGTTTTTTTCTGCCTTTTCATCAAGGAGAAGGTTCAGTTCCACCCCAGTAGCGTCCAACTCTTTATGTAGGGGCTTTAAATTGAGCTTCCAACTGTGCAAGGCAGGAGGATAAAGTTGCTGTATGAAAGCCCCTTGCCTTCTTACGAGATGCAAGCTGTACAAGTTTCCCCCTAAGTGTGGCTTTGAGGGCTTCCCACAAAATCGTGGGAGAGTATGTTGATCCAATATTGTCAGCGAAGTAGAAAAGGAATCACAAAGATCTTGAAATTGTTTCATATGTGAGGTCAGTGGAGATCGTGGGGGAGGTGTCTGACTTCTACATCCCCTGAAGTAGCAAGTATCGACCTGTAGGTTCCACGATTTCAAGCGAGTGAATAAAGGGAGTGCTTTTATGAAATGCTACTAGGACGCCTCTCCATTTCCTCAAAAGGTCCCGTGGAACACCTGGGGGTAATTTTTATAAAAGTATTTAGGAAAAGAGGAAGTAGAAAACCTGGTTTCCTGCAGTCCAATATTATGGGCTCGAAGTAAGGCATAAAAGATGAAGGCACACTAATGTTTCCAGGGGGAATTAAAGCCCTGTATATTGTATGACACTATAGAAAATTTGGAGGTAGCCATTATGGAGGGCAAAGAGCAGGACAGCTAGGGAATGTGGCAGATATGAGCCAAGCGCCATTGTCCAGCGGAGCAGGAGGGGGAAAGTCCCCAACAGAGTCCCACAGCAAGATGCGATATAGGGTTTAAGAGCCCGTTGGTCACTTCAGGTACAGCCTCGCTGAATTCACAGAGAGCAAGCAGGAGCTCAATATAGGGCAGCTGTCCAGTGGTGGGGGACAGCAGCACCAAAATAATAGTGCAGAATAAGATATAAGACCACCTGGGGCAGGAACCCTGATAAGAGTCGGACCATATCATGGCTGCCTCAATTAACTGGGAAAGATAGCTGTGGCGGGGACCTAGGCAGCGCACCTCTGGTGGTACCGGACTACTTCCCCAAGTACAGCCTGTCCCACAGCAGTGTAGGGAGCAGTTAATCCTGCTTGGCTACGGGGTAAATTAGATGACTAGGTCAGGCGCGCGCACTGGCGGCGACCCTGGTGGAGGGTCGGACTCTTAGTGGCAACCTGGGCCGGGTGCAGATAGGAAGCAGGTAAGAAGCCAAGGCCGACCAAGGGGGTGAACAGACTGGCCGTGGAGCTGTGGAACAAAGGCCGATGGCACTGGCTACAGGAAGGTATTAGCCTCCATGTTCCTATCACTGCAGGATCCTACTGGCTGGAAAGGTCCAGGGACCGGGAGCCGATGTCATGGTGGTCCGAGGTGGCTAAATGCCCCAGGAAGGTCCATTGGGCTCCAGGGAAGCTATGAATTGGGTATGGGGTGCCAGGCACTACTCCAGAAGGAGTTTATTAGAGTTACCCACCCCGGGCGGTGAGGAGTCAATCTAGCAGGTGACCATAGTCTTTGGCTGCTCAACAGCGCCCCCTGAGGCATTAATTTTTAATTTGGAATTTGTCATTCTGGAAAATGAAGAAATTAAAATTTCACAATTTTCTTTTAAACATACTGTCACCAGTGCATAACTGGTGTGGCGGTGATCAGGGACACTGACTGGTGACAGTACGAAAAAAATAAAAATTTCTCTTTGTCTTATTACTTTTTTTTATATAATACACTGTGACCAGCGTAATTATGTTACCATAGTAATATTCTACTACTCTGGGGAAGTGATCAGTATTTTTTGGTTCTTTTTCTTTTTTTGTTTTACACATTAGGTTTACTTATAGCAAAGAATTTTATTGCTATAAGCAAGCAATTAACTTAATGAAATCGAATCAGTCGGATTTTTGTTTTATTGGCCACAGCTAATTACATGACACAGATGGGCTGTGATTGACCCAGTCTGTACCGTGTGATTACTTTGACCAATCACACTAGCGACAATTGTATACAATGGAAGGCATGAAAGGAAGCCATCCATTGTTTACAGTTGTCATATGACCTGCTGCGATTGGTCACAGCTGTCACAGGGTATGGACAATGAGCCAGTAAACAGATCTCTCATTGGCTGTGTCCGAGGGACACAGGCAGTGACAGATCTCGCCACAGCATGACCTCATCCGGCACGACGTCATATGACTCCCACCATTTTGCTATGGCCGGGGGGGAACTGGTTAATTACAGCCTTTAATCTGTTGGGATAGGTCTCTACTAACTTTGCACATCTAGACTTTACAATATTTGCCCACTCTTCTTTCGAGAGCTGCCCAAGTTCAGTTCATGTGATGCTGACCATTTGTGGACTGCAGTTTTCAATTCATTCCACAGATTGAAAATGGGGTTTAAGTTTGAGCTCTGACTAGGCCATGCAAGGACACTCAACTTATTCTCCTTCAACCACTGTGTGGTCACTTTTGCGGTGTGCTTTGGGTCATTGTGTTGAGAGGTAAATCTTTCCATTGACAACTTTCTAGCAGAGGGCTGCAGATTTTCCTCAAGAATGTGACAGTATTTTTCCCCATAATGTTTTCATTTTATCCTGACAAGTGCTCCAGTCCCTGCTGCAGAGAAACACCCCATAACAGGATATTGCCACCTCCAGGCTTTACTGTAGGAATTAGTGTTATTTGGATGGTGAGCTGTATTAGATTTCCACCAAAAACATTGTTTAGTGTTGAGCCTATAATTGAATTATTTGGCCTCATCTGACCATAAAACCTTTTCCCACGTGACCTTAGAATCTTCAAGCTCAGTCATAGCTGCACGTGGCCTTTCTTGAGGAGTGGCATTTTTCTTGCAATCCACCCATACAAGCAACATTTGCAGATAATTTGAGTTATTGTTGTCACATGCACACAATGACCACTCTGTCAAATTACTGCAACTGCTTCAGCGTTACAGTAGGCGTCTTGGTAGCCTCTGAACAGTTTCCGCTTTCATCCAGTTTGGAGCAACGTCCTGATCCAAAGAGGGTCTGTGTTCTACCAAATACCTTCCACTTAATAGACTTCCATGTGCTTCTAGGCATTGTGAAAACCCTGCACTGCCAGGGACTGAAATGCTCAGCAGTTGAACGTCAAATGGCTTTGTGTGCCATTGAGAAGGTGGTTAGCTACATCCGATTGAGTTTACAAGTCATTTTTAGTAGGGGTGATCCTTTTTCGAACATGGTGATTGTGTTTTTTCAGTGCAGCTGATCGTAAAATGGTGTAAGCAGACCCAAGTAGGTCACAATTGTAACATAAGTGTAAAGAGTTAAAAGGTTGGATTGTCTGATGATTTCTGAGCTACCAACGCTCTGCAGCTTGAGAGGTGTTAGGGTTGTAGTCTCTGCCTCCAACTTGCCACACCAATGGTGGACCGACACACACACATAATCAACTGCACCTGAAAGAATGCCAAAACCTGTAGCAACCAATACCCAAAGAGACGACATCCATATCACAGCATTTGTAAAGGAGGATTAGAGATCCATAGAAAAACCGCAAGCCAACCTACCTTGGAGCCATCTGCCAGAATCAAAGCAGCTGGCATGATGGAATCAGACTGCATGGTGATGAACTGCTGACCAGAGAAATACTGCAATACTGATAAGATCCAGATCCACATAATGCTCCATCCCTGCCTGTTTGCACTCCTTTCCTGGTGTCTTTGGATGTCGGCACCAAGGTATACCCATGCACCTGCTGTACTGCTGTCCATTCAGGGAGACCTACAGCACTGCAGGTTGCATTCTGTCCTGGCCCAGGCACTGGAAGTGCATCAATTGGATCAGCAGAAATGCATCACCTATGTGTAGGTAGTCAGGGATACCAGACACTCCAGCTCCAACCTCACCGATACCCAGGGAGCATAAACCTGCTTACAGCTTAAATTAATATATTCATTACAGTGGAAGATATGGTACATTTGGGTTTTCTTAACCACTTGTCCTCCAGAGGATTTACCCCCCTTAATGACCAGGCCTCTTTTTGCTACTCGGCGCTGCACTAATTCAACTGATCATTGCGCGGTCATGCAATGCTGCACCCAAACAAAATTTACGTCCTTTTTTTCACACAAATAGAGCTTTCTTTCGGTGGAATTTCATCACTTGTGCGCTTTTTATTTTTCATGCTATAAACAAAAAAAGGCCAAAAATTGTGAAGAAAAACTATATTTTTTACTTTCAGCTATAAAAAATATATAGTAAACTCAAAAGTTAGTTATAAATTTAGGCCAAAATGTATTCTGCTACATGTTTTTGGTAAAAAAAAATCCCAATAAATGTATATTGATTGCTTTGTGTGAAAGTTATAGCGTCTACAAACTATGGTATAAATACTGCAATTTACGCCATTTTTTTGCTATACAGCTCTGCGCTAGTTTAACGGTCATACAAAAAGGTACATAAATGAAATTTACATCCTTTTTTTCCCCACAAATTGAGCTTTCTTTTGGTGGTATTTGATCGCCTGTGCGGTTTTTATTTTTTGCGCTATAAGAAAAAAAGGCTGACAATTTTGAGGAAAAAAAACAATATTTTGGACTTTTTGCTATAAAACATGTCCAGTAAAAAAAAAAAAGTAAAAATCAAATTTAGTCATAAATTTCTGCCAAAATGCATTCTGCTACATGTCTTTGCTAAAAAAAAACCCAATACATGTAAATTAATTGGTTTACGTGAAAGTTATAGCGTTTACAAATGGCGGGAAAGATACAGGGATTTTTAGTTTTTTTTTATACTAATGGCGGCGATCAGTAACTTATGGCGGGACTGCGGCGGACATTCTGATATTGGGGGGTAATGACTTGGGGTCACTGACATCCCCAGTGACACCAATACAGTGATCAGTGGAAAAAAAAAAAAACCACTGACCCTGTACTAACGGCACTGGGGAGGAAGGGGTTAAGATTATTCAGGGAAAGGTTAACTGTGTGAGGGGAGTGTTTTACTAGGGGGCGGGGGTGTGTACTGCAGGGAACACCGCTGATCGGGAGAGAGAAACTCTTCTGTCCCGATCAGCGTGTCCTGGAGCTGTCAGGGAACTGACAGAAAGCACAGCTACTGCAGCTGTGCTCTCTGTCAGCGATTGCCGCCAATCGCCGGGACATAGCCGGTAACGACCGGCTGTGATCCGGCGACTGACATCCGTGACCGTGATCGGCGGGAAAGGTAGGGTGGCCGCGCCTCGCGCATGCCCCCTACCTGTTCTAAAAACACACGTTTTAAAACGTGGTTTTGCCCAGCCGTGCCGCCCTGCCACCGTATTTCTACAGTGACTGGGCGGCATGTGGTTAACCATGACTTGAGCTGAAATTTAACTTATTCTGGCAGTGAACATTACACATGGGAGATCACAGTTTGAATGTACAGTTAAATGTACCTTGGTTAGGCATGGTGCAGCTTCCATAGGTTTTAGGAGATCAGAAATTCCGAGTCCAGAGTAGGCCTGAGTGTCTTCCTCCTTTTCCTGCTGAAATTTTACAGCAATTGCTGGGAGTTTACATTCATAATTCTGCTTGTATTTTGAGGCAATTGTAACAATGTTGTCAGCTTTGCTCTGTATTAAAAAAAACAAAAACACAACACCCGTTGAAGAAGTGTATAGACTATAATACATAAATCTCTAAATCTCATCTTAGCATTGCAGTAATTCTGTAAAATGATGTAATGCTTTATGATGCCATTGAAAAAACAAGGTTACCTTCAATGAAAACCACATGTGAAAAAATACATATATCTAAATATATAAAAACCTGAAATTATACACAAACCTAGTTTTTTGTTTTTTCCAATCTGATGGATTACCTTAAAAACCAACAGTTCATACAGTGAGAAAGATTGAGCCAAACTTGACATGTAAAAAAATAAATAAATAAAAATTTGCAAATAACTCCAGCTGTTTCTTTGGTACTACTGTGCAGTGTCACATGCAACCTTCAGTTAATCACTTCAAGTCCAGACACTTTCACCCCCTTCCTGTCCAGGCCAATTTTCAGCTTTCAGTGCTATCACACTTTGAATTACAATTGCGCGGTCATGCAACACTGTACCCTTATTCATTTTTTACCATTTTTTTGAGACACAAAACTTTATTTTGGTGGTATTTATTCACCACTGGGATTTTTATTTTTTTGCTATATAAAAAGTCCAAACATTGACAAAAAAAAAGATTTTTTATAAACTTTTGCAAATAATAATCTTTCATAAATCTTGGCCAAAATGTGTTAATCGATTAGTTTATAACCAAAAATTATAATTTTTCAAACATTGACATTTTTATATTAATTTATTTTTTAACATGCTGTCAACCTAGCAGTACAGTCACCATAGTGACACTGTACTACTTGTAGGGGGGTGATTTTTTTATTTTTTTACAGGGATTGCTTTTTACACCCATAAAGGCTAATAATTTCTCCTTCTCTGGCTGCATTCTTGCAGCTATTGAGAAATACTGTATGAGCTGTGATTGGTCACAGCTTGTCACATGGTAAAAGGCTGTTGTGAATAGCCTTGTACCATGTGACCTCTGTGCCTACTACTAGTGAAATCTGTGAATGATCAATGATGTCAGAAGTGACATCTTGCTCACTACTATTCATGTGATCACTAATTGGCCAATCAGTGATCACATGATCGGGACCTCACACAGACGTCCCGTACAGCGGTGTTCCGTTGTGTCCGGAGGACACCGGATCAGGGAGCGCGCACAGGCGGGGAGGACATTTATAAACGGCCACCTGCTCCTGCAATGCTCCCAGCTATATACATGGGCCGGACAGGAAATGGTTAACATGGTCTCTGTTTATGCAATTTTACATCATGTGCTTAGTCTGAATTAACGTGTACGTAGATTTACTTTGGGGAGATTTTTATATATTTTGGAACTCATCCCTTAGACTCCAAGACTTGAAGTACTAATAATGCAGGAACAAGCGTCAATGGCATGGCTGGATCTAGGGGGGTGCTGGGGTGGGCTGTGCCCCCCCAGATTTCAGTTGTGCCCCCTTCCTCCTATTTACATTGTGCTGTGCCCGCTGAGCTTTCTCCCCCCATCCCTTGAGTCACGGCCGGCCGCATCTAAAGATAATAGTCCAGACAAGAATGGCAGAAAGGAGAGAGCAGGGAGGAGATGCGGAATCTCTGATCTCCACCTCCTGTCATAACAGCAATCCTCCATACAGCAGGTTACATAGGATCGCTATTATATCCGATGGCACACAGCTTCATTACCCACCCCCATCCACATTTACAAGAGCTGAGCAGTCTTTGGAGGAGACGGGGGCGGGTAATGAAGCTGTGTGCCATCAGATATAATTGCGATCCTATGTAACCTGCTGTATGGAGGATCGCTGTTATGACAGGAGGAGGGAGATCATAGGGAGCTTGCATCTCCTTACTACTCCTGTAAGATTGGGGGAGCTTGTGGAGGAGGAGTGGGGTGGGGGGGCTGTTTGTGCTGGGAAGAGTAATTGGAGGGGGGGGGGGGTAATGAGTTAGGAGGCAGGATTGTCGAAGATTTGTGCTTGAAGGGGGGAATGGGGGGGGGGGGGGGGGGGAGTGGGAGTGAGGATTGTGCTAGGAGAATTTGGGAGGAGGGGGGTGGAATATGTGCTACTAGGGTGATTTGGGTATGCGGGGATTTGTGCTGGGAAGGGTAATTTGTAGGCAGTTGTGCTAGGAGGAATTGAAGGGGGGGGGGGGGGGGTGAATATATACTAGAAGGGGGGATGATTTTTACTGAAGGCAGGATTTGTGCTAGGAGGGAGATTTAGGGGGGAGTATTTTTGTACTAGGAGGGCAGATTTGAGGAGAGGATTTACGCTAGGAGTAGGAATTTGGGAGAGAGGGTTTGTGCTAGGAGTGGGGGGAATTTTTACTAGGTGTACTAGAAGGGGAAATTTGGTAAAGGATTTAAACTGGGAGTGGGGATTTGTACGGGGGGGGATTAGGGAGAGAATTTGTACTTGGAAGAGTGATTTGGGGGAGAGGGTTTGTACTAGGAGGGGGGGATTTGGGAGAAAGAGGATGTGCGCTAGGAGGGATGATTTTTGGGGCATGGAAGATTTGTTAGGGATTGGGGGGATTTGAGCGGGAAGGGGAGTTTGGGCTTTGAGGATGGGGAATTTTGCATTTTTATTTGGGTAGAATTTGGGCTTGCAGAAGAAATTTATGCTTAGGGGGTGAGCATGTTGATTAGTGCTTTTTTTTGGGGGGGGAGGGGGGGTGATGTGGTTGGGGAGCGTAGTTTGTCACCTTCACCTTGAGTGCTAGGCAACCTTGTCTTGGCACTGTCTGCAGTGCACACAAGGCACTCAATAGATCTCCTCCCCACACAGCACATAGCTGAGATCAGATTCCCCACAGCATTGTTCTACACAATGTGTAGCTAGTTGCAGTTCTGATCTGTGAAATTCCTTGACTAGATTGGCAGCTGCAGTAGCCAGCTACACACTGTGTGGAGGGATACTGATCTCAGCTATGTGCTGTGTGGGGAGGAGGAGGAGATCTCTTATGTGCCCTGCCAACAGTGGCCCTATCCTCAACTCCACTGACCACTGTCTTCTGCCATGCTGACTCCTGTACCCTGTCCTGCTAACCCCTCCTCTGCACTGCTGACCCCTAATGCCCATTGCACCCCCAGTATGGCTGCGGTCATTTGACCAACAAGCTTCATGGGATTTGTGATCGTACAGACTGGCGTCTCTCGAAGACTCATTGTGTCCTGGTGTAGTTTGAGCACCTTAGGTATAAAAAAGGTGGTTGTTGAATCCAGAATATATCCCAAATATGTAATTCTGTTGGAAGGTATTAGCTGTGATTCCTCTGTATTTATTAGACATCCTAGGCATTTCAAGAAGGATATTGTATACGCCACATGACTTTCTAGAGCCTCTTTCGTGTCCGCAAACAAGAGTAAGTCTTCCAGGTAGGAGATAATGTTTATTCCCTTCAGCCTCAAGCTCTGTAGTGCTTTCACTAGGTTCTTTGTGAATATCCTTGGTGATGAAGACAGACCAAAGGGAAGTGCGTGGAATCGGACCAAGATCGTTCTCTTCTTGTGCCCCTTTAGCACGAACCTCAGGAACTTTCTTGACTCCTCCCTTATTGGTATGTGAAGGTATGCATCCTTTAGGTCTATTGATGCCATGAACACCCTGGGGAAAAGTATTTCTTTCGCCGTGTAGATTGTCTCCATGCAACATTTTTTGAATTACAAATCCGTTTTTTGGTTTTTTTTTTTTAGGTTGAGTATTATTCTGTAATTCTCCGATGTCTTCCTTCTTAAGAAAAAGGGGGTTCTATTCCAATATTTTCCTCTTCCCCCAACTGACTGACCACATTCTGTTGGAGCATTTCTTCCAAAAAGTTCACAAGCCTTTTCCTCCTCCCTTGGCAGTGGAGTCGCAAAAATTCTATCTTGTAGCCGTTCTGAATGATGTCTAGGATAAATGTATTCTGGGTAGTTTGTAGGCAATGCGTATGGAAGTATCCCAGCCTTCCTCCCACATGGCTCCGCCCATCACTTGGATTGAATTTTGGGTTTATCCTGGTTGGGGTTGAAGAGAAACCTCCCTTCTCCTTCCCTCTTTTTGAAAACCAGACTCTTCTGGTCCTGAAATGTAGCTTCTTTAGTTGAGCACTGCCTGTTGGTACAAAATAAATAAATAAAAAAACAAAATAAACACCACACCTTTCATCCCGCTTGCCTATTGGGAACTGGGAATCCCTTTTTTTTGGCGATGGATCTCTCGAGGACTGAAGTCAGCTCCGGGCTGAAGAGGAGCTAAGGGAAGGCCGCACAGTCTAGATTTGGAAGCGATTTCCCCCTGCCAAGACTTCAGCCAAATGGCTCTTCTAGTTGATTTTGCTGTGTAATGGTTTCAGCCCATGCATGCGTGATAAAGGTCACTGCCTTTTCCAAAACCAGTAGTGATTTGAGAATTTCGTCTTCCGGCGTACTTTTGTTCCAGGTGAGAACAGAGCTGGCCTAGCCATACATCCAGGGTTCGGCAAACACAAGTCGTTGCTATCGCTGGTGTAAAGTTTATTGCAGATGCTTCCTGCACTCTCCTGAGGTATGTGTTGGCTTTACGGTCCATTGGGTCATTTAGGGAGCCCCGGTCTTCAAATGACAAATCCGTGCTTCTTGAAATACTTGAAAGAGCATCTGGATTTCGGCAAGATTCCCATATTGACGCATCTTTCATTTTAAATGGGAATCGCCTCTTAAAATTGAGAAAGAAAAAAAAAAAAAAGGCTTTCCTTTCTGGCTCTTCCCATTATCTTTTTATGATAGACCATAGTGTGGAACGAACCAGGAACGTGCGGCCACTTTTTTTTTGTAGCCCTGCATATAGTTGGTTGTGCAGAGAGAGATCCAGTTCTTCCAGGTTTTGTGCATTTCTTATCTCACATGGGGTCTCCTCCTTTCTTTCCTCCTCCTGTGAGCCCATCGAAGAACGGCAGACACAAAAAATATAGGCCCCCCTGACAGATCTGCCTCCATCCCGACCGTTTTCCCGTCTTGGCGGCTGCTTCGTTTGTAGGGTGACGGGG